AAAAGTCCACCTCCATAATGACTGAACCTTCCAACTGGGTAAGTCCCACTTCTTCTAATACAATGGCCCAATTCCTCTGGCCTCCCTGCCCCCCTCCCACTATCCCCTTTTCCTTTCCATTGTCCTATTACCCCTTTTTTATGTTCCCACAAATTCCTCCCACCTTTTCTCCCCTTCCATGGCCTCCTGCCACTAATCCCTTTTCCCAGAGTTCCTTCGTAATACCAGAGGGAGTGTGATTGGGAGGGGAAAAAAAGGGAAGTTTCCCTAAAGTAACCATCTTTTTCTTAAAAGTTAATAATTTCTATTTTGGAGTTTCCAACAGGCACACCACCACCTACACGACCTTGTACAGAGCCAGTCACAGCCAACAACCCTGCCACAGGTGGCAGAGAACCAGTCCCTCCTGAAGGAACCTTCTCCTGACTCAGTTTCCAGATAAACCATACTAAGAAAACCCCACATCCATCATGTCAGCTGTAAGAAAATCTATTTGGACATTAGGGACTCAGAATTGTTTGCATTTTGAAAATTGTCTTATGGGTGGTTTTGATTATCATTTATGTTGATTCAGTTGATCTTTAAGAGAAGCTTTCTTAATAATATCAAAATGGGGAGTTGTGGAGACCCTGGGGACATCCCCTGGGTTGGGGAAATAGAAGAAGCTTCCCTCAAAAACCCGCTAAGACCCCACTGGCTCCTTCCCCTGTTCCTATGTCTGCTCCTGTGTCCCTGAGCCACTCCTTTCCCTATTCCCTGACTGGCCTTCATCTTTGTACTGCCCTGAGACGAGGGTGACCCTGGGCCCCTGGGGAGAGAGATACTTGGATCCCCGCATGTGTGCGTGCCTGGGACCTGCACATGTTACTGCGTGGCTGAATTAAACATCCGTGGATATTATGTAAAGGCCGTTTTTGCTTCTTTACCCTGGACTTTACTAGCAGCTATTCAGGCTGCAACACTGCAGCTGTGGCAGGTCATCAACGGCATTGGCAGGGATGGCTGAGAGCGAGTTCTGTGACAGGTAGAGTGAGCGCAAGGCACTGAGGCCCTGGAAGAAGCGCTGTGGGACCACACGCATGCCATGTGGCTGCTGCGCCTGCAGCTTCAGGCCACAGAGGTTATGCAGGTAGCGGAAAGGCAGCAGCTGCCGCAAGTGTTGGCTCAGGTAGTGCAGCACATTGGCACGCCCAGTGTCACCTGCACTGGCTGGAATGCAGCCACGCTCACCTCCAGCAGCCAGCTGCGGTCCAGGTAAAGCTGGTAAAGCCTCGGGAGGCCTTGGAATGCCATGTCTGCCAAGGGCTGCAGGTTGTTCCTGCCCAGGTCAAGGGTTTGCAGGCGGTGACAGAATGACCCATCAGTAGATGAGGGAACGGTGGGGGATGTATATTTATAGACATCAGTAAAGCCTTTGACACTGGAGGAGCTGGCTGCTCATGGATTGGACAGGGGAGCTGTTTGCTGGATGAAAAACTGGCTGATGCCCAACCCAGAGAGCGGTGGGGAATGGAACTAAATCCAGCTGGGGCCAGTGTAGCAGGACATGTTCCCTGTCACAAGAGCTTGTTAATTGGTAAAATAAATCACTAAAGACCACTTGTCTCGTGGTTATTTGGGTGCCATGGAAGTGACACTTGTAGCTGACAATAAACATCTTGCTGTGGAAGCAAGATTGTGGAAAGATAAGCTGGAATTTCTGACAGACACTTTGCTTCACAATCTATTAAAGCTACACCAAACTTTCACAAAGTAGACGTTTCTGCGCATTTCCTGGAAATGTGTGGGGCTTTTCCCCCAAAGTTGGGATCCTGGTTTTGTGGTTCCTCTGTTGAGGGTTGAGTGAAAGGACTCTGCACACTCTTGCCAGTTTGGTGGTAAGTTACACTGACTCCTAATCCATACTATTTCTTTCCTAGCTTTGATATAGGTACCTTAATGTTGTGCACTGTTTTATGTAATCTACTAGTAGTTCATTTGTTTTATACCATGCAGTAAGTAACTCTGTTCAAGACCTTTTGTCTATTATCTCCTGTCAATTCAATAAATAACTAATTTTATAATAGGCCTGATCTGCCACTCTTAGAACTTGCGAGCCAGAGTGGTTTAGGTGCAGGCCACCTAATTCAAGCTGTACCCAAAAATCTTAGCCTAAGACAGGGCTTGGCTGAAGCTCCCACTCTATCCATAACACCCAATTACTTGTGGGTGACCCCTAGAGTCAGTGCTGGGTCCAGTCCTGTTCAACATCTTTATTGATGGATGAAGGGATAAAGTGGAAGTCAAACTAAGTTCACAAATGACACCAACTTGTGAGGGAGTGTGGATCTGCTGGAGGGCAGGAAGACTCTGCAGAGGGATCAGGACAGGCTGGATCAAGAGGCTGAACCTGTCTTCTCCCACATTGGGATGCCTATTGGGTAGGAATCATGCCCCGAGTGCCTCCACCTGAGGGACTGGAAAGGGCTGGAGCAGTTCCTGAGGGACTCACACGCGCCCCCCCCAACCTATCTCCCCCAGGAGCTTTTTCATTAGGTTTTCTCTTGCTGTCTCTTCTTGAAGCGTGAGTTATGGAGCAGCCGGGGGGGGCACCTGGGGTCAGCCAAGGTCACCTACGCCAAACCTCCCCCACTTTTAGAATCCCAGGCTGGTTTGGGTTGGAAGGGACTTCAAAGGTCATCTCGATCCACCCCCTGCCATGGGCAGGGACATCATCCACTAATCCCAGGTTGCTCCAAGCCCTGTCCAGCCTAACCTTGGACACTTCCAGGGGTGGAGCAGCTGCAGCTTCTCTGGACAGCCTGTGCCAGGGTCTCACCACCGTCACAGAGAGGAATTTCTTCCCAATATCCCATCTAACCCTGCCCTCTGGCAGGTGAAAACCCTCACCCACCACCCTGTCCCCTGACAAAGACCCTCCCCTGCTCTCCTGGAGGCCCCTTTCTATATTACATTTTATCTCTCAATTAGATTTATACCTACCTAGATATCAGCCCAAAAAGTGGCTCAGGCAGTCCATGACTAATTGCAGCCACCTGCGGTAGCCCCTTCTGGGGGGTGTGGGGGAGTGCCGGGGGTTTGGGCAGATCTATGGGTTATTTTAGAGAACCTCAGGAGATTGTAGAGGGAGGCTAAGGAGGGTCCTGAGGGTTCATAGGGTGTTTGGTGGGGGAGCTATGGAGCCTTTTGAGGGGATTCTGAGGGTATTTGGGATCTACTGGGGAGTCTGTAGGGGATGGAGGGGGTCTCTGGGGTTTTAGGGGGTGAAGGGTAGGCCACAGGAGTGTATACTCCAGATCCCCAAAGTCCTCTCAACCTGTTCTTCATCTGACAGGATTTATCTCCCCCTGTCAGGGAAGTTCACCACACAGACTCTGTTCCTGATTCCCGTGAAATGTTGATGTGCGCAACATGCAGGAATGTTTTACCTGGAATTTCCTTGGCTCCAAGAGGGACCACGGGAGTGCCATGAAAAGGTGCGCGGGCATGTCCATCCTCCACATCGGCAATCGCAATTTTGAATCAAATTTTAATTAAAGGCTGAACTGTTGCTGATACTGCGATAGTCAGGGTCTTTCTCTACATTGTTGTCATCACGCCAATTCCCAGGAGACACTCGAGGGGCGCTTGGAGGCCAGCTGGGGGGTGCTTGAGGGATCATTAAAGGGTCTGGAGGGGTGCTTAGGGGGCGGGGAGGCAGTTGGAGAGCACTTGGGGATCCGAGGAGACACACGGGGAGCATTTTGGGGGCAAGTAAGGGAGGGGGGGCGGACGGACTTCGGGACCCTGAGAGGCACTTGAGGGTCATGAGAGGGAAAGTGGGGCTACTTACGGAACCCCGGGGCGCACTTACGGTTCAGGGAAGCACTCGGGAGCAGCTGGGACGGTGCTTAGGGGACAGTCCCGGCTCTGACGGGACTCCCACGGGCCGCGCGGCATGACGGCAACCCCAGTCCCGGCTCCATCGGCGTCCTACGGCGCCCCGCGGTCTTTCGGGAGTTGTAGTCCAGGAAGTGTGTAAACTGGCGCGAATCCAGCGGCCAATGGGAGGCGGGGGGGACAGGAGCGATTTTTGGGGGCTCAGGGGGAGCTTCTGACGCCCCCATGATGCGACACCCCCCACTCCCGCCAGCGCCCTAAGGGGCGGAGAGACACCAGAACCCCCCGGCGCCATGTCTGCCGTGTGGAGGTGAAGAAGACAGGTGAGCCCCGCTTCCATGTGTTTGGGGGATCCCCGCCCTGTTATGCCCGATAAACCCTCAGGCGCCCCTACAGACTTCCTAGTCCCCAACCACCCCCCAGTGCTGTCCTGGGCCCCCCAGAACATCCCATAGATCTCCAAACAGTTAAAGACCCCCCAAGCCCCTACCTGGAGCCCCAATATCTTTCACAGATTTTCTTCAACACTCCTAGAGTCTCCTCCAAAAATGCCATAGATCTCTTCTAGATGCCCTATAGACACCCAGTGTGCTCCCAACCACTCCCGATTCCCAGCGCTCCCCAAAGCCCTTCCTCAGCCTCAGAGCCCCTCCAAACACCCCGAAGACCTTCAAGGACCCCCTGGAGACACCCAGGACCCCACCAACAGCAGCTTTTGAGCCCCATAGAAGCGCCCAAATGCTCTTGGGGACATTTGGAGGGAGAGGGGATTTGGGGCAATCCCAGAGGTGGGGGAGGAAAGGGAGGGAGTTTTGGGGGTGTCCCCACCTCCCTGGTGCAATTTTAGGGTGTCATCGCTTTATTGGCCCCACCATGGGCTGGGGTTGCCCAGGTGGGCATTCCAAGAGAGTTTTTGAAATAAATGGGCAGGAGATCTTTCTCCTTTTTAATGCCTTTATTAAGAAGAATCAGCTCAGGTGGGGAGAAATCGACGGGTTGCGCCCACACCGCCGTTGCTCCCAGGCGTGGCACGAAGAAGGAGGATGATGCAGCTTTGTCCACTGGTCTGCAGACAGAGCTGGGGACTCTGTCCTCACGGGAGAGTCGTAGATTCCTTTTCTTGTAAAAACTGTAAAAATTCGGGGCGCAATGCATTTCTCATCTGCATACTGGCTCTGATGTCACTGCCCATTCTCTTTACCTTGGAGGGTCTGTCCTGGTGTCTTCTTGGCAAGTGGCCAGCATCAGGGAAACAATAGTTAATCACCGGCCATTAACAGGTAATTAAGGAGCCCCTCTCCGGTAGCGAAACCAAAGAGGTCTGACTTTTTTTTAACTCTGAAACTCAAAAAAAATACAACTTTCTATTCATAACAGTTTTGATGGCCCTAGCGGGTCGAAGGGAGAGTAAATGGGGAGTTAGGGGGGCCTGAGGGAGGCACAAGGGCAGGCCCCATAAATCTGGAGGTGGGGATGTCCTACCGAAGGCATCCTCTTCCAGCCCGGCGGTGGCATTGCAGCATCCAGAGGAGGAGGTCCCCAAGAGAGCCTGGGGGGCTGCATGTCACGGGGGGTGGCAGTCCCACAAGTGTTCCCCCAGCCCCACAAGGGACTTCCTGAGCCAGAAGTGTCTCCCCAACACACAAGTTCCCCCTCAGCTTCTCAAGTGACCCCTGACCCACAACTGCCGCCCCCAGCCCCACAAGTGACTGCCCCTGGCCCACAAATGACCACCTTAGCCCACGAGGGCACCTCTAGCCCCACCAGTGTCCCCCTGGCCCAAAAGGGCGCATCCAGGCCCACCAGTGACCCCTGTGACCCACAAATGACCCCCAGTGACCCCCCAGCCCCACAAAGGTGCGTCATGACCCTCAATCGCCCCCCAGCCTTCGAGTGACTCCCTGGCTGGCAAGCGACCCCCATGACCCTCAAATGACCCGATAAGCCACAAGTGACCCCATGATCCTCAAGGGCTTCTCTGGTTCCTCACCCAGTGGCTGCGGCCACGGTGCCCCTGCAGGGCATTACGTGCACTGCTCCTGATTGGCTGTGGGGCCTCACTGGGGTCACGTGACCTCGAGCCTGGCCCTCCCCGGCGCAGGGGCTCAGGAGGCGCCTCCCTTGCAGGCCACAGGGCATCCTGGGAGCCGCATGGCTTCCAGTATGGTGCACACCACAGAGCCCCACAGCAGTCATGTGACCCCCAAAATGGCCCCTGCAGCAAAGGCTCATGGGACTCTCGCTTCCCACCGGGTGGCGCCCCCGGGAGGCAGAGGTGCACAGCAGCTGCTGCTGATTTGCGGCAGGGCATGGTGGGAGCCGCGTGACTGTGAGGGTGTGCCTGCTGCAGGGTATCCAGAGAGCTGCTGCTCAGTGGCCGGAGGGCCTTGTGGGAGCCATGTGGCGCCCAGCGTGGATGCTGCCACACGGGCCCTGGGAGACAGCGGGGGTGCCGGCGCCCCCTGGTGCCTGCAGGAGTGCCTCCGGTGGGTCACGTGACTTCGGGGGCACCGCCCCTGCAGGGCCCTGGGGAATCACGTGACCTGCCCCGTGGCACTCCCTGCAGGGAACCCTGGGGAGCAGCAGAGCCCAGCAGGGCCCTGCCCACCAGGGGCGTGTCCAGCGCTGGCCCCTCCCCTCGGCGCCGCCTCAAGCGCCGTTGGACGAGGGGGCCACGGAGGGTGGAGCTGCAGGGGGCGAAGCCTCCGCCTGGCTCCGCCCCTTTCCGGCCTGCAGGGGCGGGGCCTGAGCAGGGCCTGGCTGGGGGAGAGGAGAGGGTTGGGGAGGGGCGAGGACCCACGAAATGCTGACCCTGCACTGACCCCGCGGGGTCAGTGAGGAATTTGAGGGGCTGCGGGACGCACTTATGGGCAGAATGGCGGGTCCGGGGCATCAGCGGGGATCGGGTGGGGTAGTTGGGCGTCCTCGAGGCGCTCCTGGGGAACACTGGGGCAAGGGAGGGAATTGGCAGGCACTTAGGAGTCTGGGGCAGCATTTGGGGGTCTGGGGAGCACTTGGAGTCCTGGACAACACTGAGGGGACGGGGGAGCAGACTGGGGCCTCCAGGAGGCACTTGGGGATCCCGAAGGGCACTTGAGGACGGGCTGCTCTCCCAGCTCCTTTGCACCGGACGCTCCGTTCACTGCTCCAGGCTGAGCCTCTGCGGGAGGTATGCGGGAAGTGAGGCGGGGCCCTCCCAAGCCCCCCAAATTGCCCCCTCGGTCCCTTCCGGACCCCTTAGGCCTCACCCGCACCATCGCCCGCGCTCTCGTTTGGTTTCGCCCCAGCGCTCCGAGCGCGAGCGCTGATTGGTTCGGGGCAGAGACGGGCGGGCGGTGCGGCCAATGGGAGGCGGGGGAGCGGCAATGCGGGAGGCAGTTGCGGGGGTCCGTGGGAGCGCTTTGAGGATTCACGGAGGGGTTTGGGGCCTGTGGAGGCACTGAGGGAGGCCCTGGAGAATAAATGGGGGTCCCTGGAGGGGTTTGCGGGTCTGGGGGCACTGAGAGATGCCCAGGGAGTTCTGGGGGTCACTGGGGTGGTTTTGAGGGCCTCAGGTTGTTTGGGATCCCCAGGGAAAGGTTTGGGGTGAAGGGGTGGTTCTGGGCGTCCTGGAAGGATTTGGCGGTCCAGGAGGGTCGAGGGGGTCCCGATGTGGTTTGGGAGGCACTTGGGGTGGTTAAAGAGGCAGAGAGCTGGGATCTTGCTGACGGAGACTCCCAATCTCTCCCATGTACTCCCCCAAATCTCCCCTAGAAGCTCCAAACCCTCTCCGGGATCCCCAAATCCCAACAAGACTCTCTCAGCTCTGCTTAGATCCATGAGCCCATCCAAGGGAATGATACCACAACTGGCTGGCAAATAAACTTTCTAACACAATTTGGAGCATTAGAAAGCAGGTGTCCTTTATCTGCGCGGGACACACTGAAGGATTTCTCCTTTAATCTGATGTGTGTGGTGAAACTTTACCACAGGGTATGGTCCTGGAGGGACCACACACAGGTCTCTGGTGGTCATACTCACGGAATGCTTCCATATTACATGTGACCTTTCCTTGAACGTTTTCCTTGTGAACGTTTTCCACTGTTACTTCTTGTCACGTAACTTGACAAAAACCCCATTATATTCCTCATTACCTATTTGTCCAGTGGCTCCAGCTGTGCTTGTGATCCTCCGTGCATACCTTTACATCCTTTCAGCTTTTTTGCCAGTTGTCTTCAAGCTCCATCCAGCACTTTCAGGACAACTGAAAATTTCTGCTCTCCGGCTCATTTATCAGGAGCCCCAAAACCTTTCCAGGGACCCCCATCTTCCCAGAGGGACCTTGTGGTTTGGGAAGTTCAGAGGGCTGAGGGGATTCCCCGGGTAGTTTTGGGGCATCTCCAAGTGGTTTTGGGGGTCCCTGGATGGCTTTGGGGGTGGGGTCTCTGTCTCTGGACAGTTTTAAGGATCTCGCAGGTAAGGATCTAAGGTTCAGAGTTTCCCCATTTTTATGTCTTCATTTTAAGGCAAAAGCCCTTTAATTCCCTGTTTGCCATCATCTCTCCTGGCTCCAGCTGGTTTTCTTCAGCTTTTTCAGTCATTTGGGCCAGAATTTCCCATTCCCTGGAATTCCCCGCTGGGACTTGGGTCATTAATTTTGGGTAAAAAACATCTGGATTTGGTTTGTCCTTTCCCCAGTGTCATGGGGTGAGAGAGCACCATGAGGACAGCAGTTCCGGGAGTTCAGGGAATTTGGGGTGATTGCTGTGGATCCCACACCTGTCATGACATCCCTGTCACCCACATCCATCAAGATTTCCTGTGGGTTCCACTCCTATCGTTTCCCATGCATGACACAATCCAGCTGCCAGTTCCCAAATTCTCTGGAACCGTGGGTCATGCCCCCCTGCCTTTCTCCTCCTGCCCCCAACCTGAAATTCTGCTGAATCTGCTCAAATCTGTATGGTTTGGCTGTGGCTTGGTATTTTTTATTTGGGTATAAAAAGAGTGACTTTGGGACAAACACTCTGTGTCTTAAGGGGGCCAGGAATTCAAGAGCCAAGAGAGCGGTGAGTGGGGAAGAGTGGGGAGGCTTCATTCCTGTTTATTCCTTCTTTTCCTTATTGTTTGGCGATGGCAGAAATTGAGGATGGATTTTTTTTCTGATCAAATTTCAGATTTTTCACCCTTTCCCTTCCTCAATTGTATGACTTTTCCCCCGTAAGCTTCATAATTTTAACCCTTTTTCTTTCAAAATTAGGACTTTTTTCCCCATTTTTTCCCATTTCCCCCCAAATCTCAGAGGTTTGCCCTTTTTGTGCACTGTTCTCCCAAATTTCAGATATTTTTGTCCTCATCATGCCCAAAATTTCATGGTTTTTTTTTCCCCTTTTTGAGGCCAAATTGAGCATTTGGGAGGGTTTGTGTGGGACAAGGTGAATGAAGGGTTTTTCTGCATGTTGAGCCCAATTTTCATCCAAATTTGAGGGATGTTGGGCAAAAAAAATACCCATTTTGACTGAAACAGGGGGATTTGGGGGAAAATTCATCTTTTCCATGAAGTTTTAGTGTTGATTTGGTGGAAATGGGGTATTGAGATGGCATCAAGGGCAGGGGTTGGTGGAAGGGCTGTGTTAGCATTTTAACCCCATTTTGACATGAATCTAGGTGATTTTAGTTAAAATTAATCTGCTTTTGGAGTGAATCTGATAAAGATGGAGATTCTGATGTGGCCTCAAGGTGGGGGGGAGTATGGGGGGGAGGGATGTTTATTCCCTGTTTAATGCCATTTTGACCAAAAGAGGGGGGATTGGGGGATATATATATTTTGACCTAAAATGGGAGAATTTGGGAAGAAAAACCATTTTGATCCAAACTTGGGGAATTTTGGACAAAATTTCTAGAGTTTTGAATGTTTGGAGTGATTGTGGGGGCAGTGGGGGCCAAAATATGCCCCAAGAGGTTTCTGTGGAATGAAAAAAAGCATTTTGGGGTATTAAAAGACATCTTTGGGTAATTTGGGCGTTATTTGTGGCTTCTGGAGACACCCCAAGGCTCACATGGATTTTTTTCCATGAAATAACAGTTTTTAGTAATTTTCAATGTTTTTCACAGGGATGGCACCAGTTGGGATCTGGTGGCTCCTCCTTCCCTTCTGTGGTATGTAAAACCCCTGTTTTCCATGCAAAATCCCCAAATTTCCTGGGCTTTGTACTTATTTCCAGGCTTTTTAGCACAAAAAATGAAATCCTGAGTCCTTGGGCTTGTTTTTGCCCAAAAATGCATCTCTTCCCTGATTCTGCATTTTCTCCTACAATCTCTCAGCTGCAGATTTATTATTTTTAAATAAAAAGCCCATTTTGAAATATTTTTTAAATCCAAAAGCCTTTAGAATCCTCTTCTTTTTTTTCATGAATGCCTCAATAATTTTCATGGAAAAAATCCCCTTTTTCCTCACTTTCTACAGAAAAATAAAGTGCACTTTGTCCTGGTTATTTGTGTTTACTTTCTGGTTTTGTTTTGGTTTTTTGGGTGTTTTTTTTTATTTTGGGGGGAGGTGTGGTTTTGGGGGTTTTTTTTAGCTAAAATTCTAATGATCAGTTTTAGTGTTTTTTCCAGGACAAAAACCTCAAGATTTATATGCTGGAACTGTATTTTCTTCCAGGCGAAAAAAAAATAAAAAAAAATCTATTTTTAAAAAGGGGTTTTTTAATGAAGAAAAGTCCTTTCATTTGCTCTTTTTAAATAAAAGATGTTGGTTCTCAAGGGAAAAAAACCCTTTTATCCCTTAATTTCCTGGCTTTTTTCCAATTTTCATTAAAACCTTTTATCAACCCAATTTTTAGGTAGGGTTTTTAAAAAAAGAAAGTTTTTATTCCCTTGATATTTTCTTGTTTATTCTTTTTTATTTTGTTTGTTTAATTTTATTTTAAAAAATTATTCATTGAGGAAGAAAAGCCCTCTTGAATTCTGTTTTAAGTTTCAGGTATTTTTAAAGAAAAAAAGCTCTTTCACTCTGTTCTAATTATTAAAATTCCAATTGCTCATTTCCTTCTTGACGTTTCTTCAAAATCCCCCTGTTTTAAAAAACCAACTTTTTCATGTATTATTTCAGAATGCCCCCTTCCATCCTA